AAGGACCACACGCATAATGTCACTCACGCGGTTGGTCTCCTTGATCAAGACCTTCTGGTTAGCCCAGAGAACCATGTTGATTAGTCGGTCGTCGTCGGGGAAAGCGTCGTTGATGTCAACCGAGAAGACATCGCCGCGGGCGACGTCGTAGAAGAGAATGTCCACGACAGGATTGTGACTGCCTGCACGAGGGTACTTGATGCGCTTCTCATCCGGGTAGGTCTCCTCGCCTTCGGGCTTCTTCTTGCCACTAGGTCTAGAGACGAAGTATTGCAGCGGGTACTCCGGTACACCCGTCTCGTTCGTGCGCAGGAAGGCAATGTACTTGCCATCCTCAGAGAACCAGGTGGCGCTGTTACCGGCAAAGACTTCCTCCTCGTACACCCAGTCGGGGATACCGTAGAAGTACTCGGGCCCGCCGTCCTTGGTGATCTGAGTAACCTTCTTCGTCGCCAGGTCTCTGAGGTAGAGGTTGTTGTCCCTGGTGAAGACGATGGCATTGCTTTGAGGGCTCCATGTCGCAAGCTGCACGCGACCAGAGGCGTTGTCGGGGTCGAGTGGCTCGGTAGTCTGCGTCTCAACGTCGAAGATCCAGTACAGCGCAGTGAAGGAGTGGCGCCAGTTGTGCTCCCGGTCAGTCGAGACGAGGACCTTCTTCATGTCCTTGCTCGGACGGCCGTCGAAGGGCGTCAATTGACGGCCATTGTACTCGATCCATGGGTTCTTCATGAGCGTGCGGCTCTGAACGACGTCGGCAGATACCTGGCCAGCCGCCTTGTTGCCAGATCTGATGTCCTCCACGACGAGGTAGTCCTTACCCCGCGCACCTTGTTCCAGGAGCAGCCCGTCCTCCCCGTTCGGACCCTCGATCCAGCTGACCGAGTGCGAGTATGGCGACCAGAAGCCGGACATGACCTGGTCCAGCGTCACCGGCTTTCCGGACCCGCGCTGCGTCGCCGAGGGGTCGTGGTCGACCTTGCTCCCGTGCTGGTATGACTTGTTCGTTAGGAAGACGAACAGCGCGGTACCCCACGCGAAAAGGAAGGCGACGCCCAGTATTAACAGCCCCTTCTTCAGCCCGCGATCCATTCCCACGCGGCGCACAATGCCGCCAGCACCGGGGGCCATCAGCGGCCCCGTCTCGAGATCATTGGTATCGGACTCCTTCAGGTCATTCTCGTCGTCGAAGTCGTCGGGGTTGTCGGCGTATGCGCTGCGGGAGGTAGATGGAGCGCGGCGCCTTTGAGAGGCAGACGAGGAGGTGTAGGTTTGCTTCTCATTCTGTTCGTGCAGGCGGTCGAAGACAAGGCTCGTGGTGGAAACGGTCGAGATGGATGATTCGTGGGACATCCTGGGATCCTCGCTGTCGGTCGGTTGACGAGAGGCGGAGGCGGCGGATGGAGCGGCCATGGTGAGACTTGATATCTCGGCGAGATGGCGCCAAGGGAGAGCAGAGATAAGGTGGTAGAGGAGATGGGATCGAAACTACTTGGATTCGGTCGTGACTTGAAACGGCATGCTGTCTCGAGGCGGCTTCAGGCCTCTTTGGGAAATCGGGGTAGACGACGATGGCACATGGATCGGAGCGCGGGTCACGAGACGGAAGGGTGAAGACGGAGACGGAGACGGGCTGGTATGTGTATGTACGTGCGAGTGTCGAGCCGAGTCAAGCCAGTGCCAGTGCCCAGAGTTGAGAAACAAACTACCTGGCCCAGGTGTTTGGCGGATTGGGGATTGGAGACAAAGGACAATGGGAAGCTGGACGTGTTTGCTGCGCGATGGTGGGTGCGGTGCGTGCTTGTGCTTGCTGTGGGAGGTGGCGGGCCCCTGGTACTACAGTGAGATGGAAGTAGCTTAGCTGGCCTGGACTGGGTGCGAATGAGTTTGTCACAGCTGCAGGAAGGGCCCCCAAAAGCGACCCCAGACCAGGAACACCTTCTCCAATGGAACGGCACGCTCTATTCACGGATGCGGAGCGCGGCCGGGTGGCCTTGGCCCGTTTCAATTGTCACATTCCCACTCAGTGCTAGCCGGCCACCTGGGTCCATCGCTTATCTGCTTATCGCTCCATGCAGGCCCTTGTAGAAGGATTTCCGCTTGATGCAAGCTCTCCTCCAATTCAGTTGGTGGAAGCGACTGTGCGATGGCTTCCGTTCAAATCTTCAAGCATATTGATTGGCGGTAGAAGGTGCAGGCAGAATAACTATCATCTCAGGAAACACACCATCAAATCCCAAAAAAGCTCCAAACAGTGGCATTGGTATCAAAAAACCCGCACCCCCCAGAATCATACCAAAAATGAAACCATCTCAACCCGCCAAGCCAACTCGAACCTCACCACAATCTCACCTATTCTTGTTCGCATCCCTCCTCCCTCCCCCTACTGAACGTCCTACGCATCAGCAAGCTGCGGCGCAACGGCCGCCTCCTCCTGGATCTTCTCCACCACGCACGCCGTCCCGTACGCACACGTCTGCGCAAACCCGCCCAGGTCCGACGCGTCGAACCGCAGACAGATGATGGCGTTCCCGCCCCGCTGCTTGCACTCCGTCACCACCCGGCCCAGCGCGTCGTTGCGGCAGTTGTACAGCATCGTCGTGAACCAGCGCAGCTCGCCGCCCGCGAGCGACTTGATCACCATGCCCAGGCTCGCCGCGATGTTGCGGCTGCGCACCGAGAGCCCGTACACCGCGCCGAGCGTGCGGACGACCCGGTACCCCGGGATGTCGAACATGGCTGTATGGGAAGTAAGTGTTTGCTTGAGAACAGTGAAGGTAGTGACAACGACATACTTGTGGTGATGACCCCGCCGGTCTCTGTGAAGCAGTGCAGGTCCGAGAGCTCGGGTGGGATATTGGCGACGTCGTCGGCCTTTGCATCGCTTTTTCTGCCCATGAAGTTCATCTTCTCTGTCAAGGTGAGGTTGTACTTTGCGTGATTGATTGTATCTGAAGATTGAGTGCATGCAGTCTGCGATGGCGATGATGAACAACAGCTTCACCACCCAGAAAATGGCAACTCCCACCCAGTTAATATATACCCATAATCATACGTGAGGCCTCGAGGAACGCCTCATGCTCCTCCGTCGTTTCCTCATCAAATGAGGCCAGCAACGTGACGGTAAGTCGGGCATAATCATCCATCGCCCGGGCTTTACCGTCACAGGCACGGCCCCACTCGGCGCAAAGCTCCGCCTGCCATTGGGTCCCCGCTGCCGGACCGTATTTCGTATCTGCATCAACGAGAGACACGCAACGGACCCGAGTGGCTGGTGCATGCCCCGCGCCACCCCAAGTTCTTGCTCTAGCGACGGGTCATCTTGCATGCATTGCGGTAAGACACCTGGCCAGCAGCGTGGGTCTAAGCCTTGCGAGTCGCTCGGTTTCCGGATTGGGTGTTCGGTGAAAATTGTATGGCAGTCGGCGGTCGTCATCGCCGCCCGCATGGATGCATCAAGGCCAGGCGATTCTAACTCCGCGTCCAGGTCCTCACTTCATCAAAGAGAGGTAACGGCTTCAAAACTACAGAGTTACATTTTGGATTTCTCTGTTAAACGCCGGTGACAGTAGCTTCCATCATAGCAGATTGAACGTCGCAAGTCCCGTCACCACCCAAACTACATAATGTTCTAAACCTCTAATAGAGTTATGAACACCGGAGGCTTCATATTTCAGGGCTCTCTGCAGATTAAGCATTTCTTTTACTGCGCTATCAAAGATATTGCCTCTTGAATAAAAAGACTGGACCAGTTTTCTTCAACATATTCCGGCATAAGCTTTCCCAGCAAGCCGCCAGAGATTGCCTTCCTCACGGTTTTTAAAACAAGACTGGCTTTATCCACATCGGTATCAGCAATGCATCCGGACAATAGTTCCATCACTCACAAGTTCACAGATTCATGTCAGTTTCCATTGCGAGGGACTAACCTCATAACTTACAGTGTGTTCTACAATTTTATTCTCATAACTTTCTGCTGTATGCGACCATGGTCTTCTGCCGTCGTTTTTCAGTCTAGATGTACGATTTTGCATGAATACTTCGATCTGTTCCATGACACAAAACTACCCCAGACAGTACACGTTACTTCCACGTACAATTTCCTAAGGCTTAGAAGCATGAAAAGGCAAGGATCCTTGTCAGCATCCGAAAGTATTATTGTCCGGATATAATTAAAAACAAAATGACAAGTTTGTATTTATCCACATCTTACATCTCCTACGATCGTGGACGCAGTTTCCGAGTTGATAACAACATCAAAATAGATTATATGTCTATTTTAGAAGGCATACAAAACATACGAAAGTGGTGTATGTTTGTTGAGTCCCACCCTGAAGAGGGTATGCAGTAGGTAAATCCAGCAAGAGCACTTCGGCTGGTGCTTCGTCTAGTAAAGAATTCGCGGCATACGTACCCAGGGCCCCAGAATAAGTTACATGTGTTAAAAGTCTCTGATACGCATATGTCTTAGAGTCACTCCAAGTATGCCGGCGGGTTCACCTGGAACATAGAACAATTAAACTGCCTCGACGCGGCCCACCTGCGTTTATGACATATCAAAGGTGCACTCACCTGAAGCCCTAGAACGGTGTTAGCATTCTTCTCAGGGATTTTTAACGGCCTAAAGACCATTCGTCTGCAATGTCTCATGATACCACTTATTATATCTTTAAGGGCAACTGTGAGCCCATCGCAACATGCACACGAGTTCCAGGCTTAGCAAAACTAACGTCATCATAGCCACGCAAAGATAATGTGAGCTGCAATGCCGATTTGGATGTCGTCACTCGCTAGTATCGAAGAACCCTCCAGCTCCGACTTCTCGGAGCCAAGCGTCCGTTCTTACCTAGAGCAGACAACGCCAACATACTACACCTCATCGAGGACTGAGCCACCCACACATCAATACCAAAAGAAAAATAAATTCAAACATCTTATCCTCTTCAATTCCTCAACCGAGCCCCAATCCGCCCAATCCATCCCCATAACCTGTGGCCCTCAAAATGCATCCCCTCACACTCCTGACCCTCGCAACACCAGCACTCTCAGTCACCCTAACCTGCCGCTCCCTCATCCGGTGCCCCCTCATCTTCGACGGCCGCGTCCCTTCCACCGCCGTTCCGACCGACTTCGACACCCCGAACGGCGGCGGCTGGAACCCCTTCAACCCGTCCTACGTCAAGGGCAACACCCTCCTCTGGTCCGACATCGTCCTCCTCTCGTCAGTCCCCGCTTCCCGCTTCGACGCCGCCGCCGGCTCGCGCGCGGTGGAGGTGACCATCTCCGACGAGAGCATCTTCATGAGCCAGCGCGGGTTCCGCCGCGCGGGGCTGCAGTTCGCCGCGGACGCGAACACGGGCAGCCCCGCGGGTGAGGGGGCGAAGACGCTGCACTTCAGCGTGCGGCAGGACGCGGAGAGGCCTTTGAACCTGACGCATGAATACCTGGTAACGCCCCCAGCCGATTCTTGATGATGGTGTGTGGTAGTAAGTGTGCTAACGGGGAATGTGTGGGGGCCAGAACGTCTGGCACGAGACGGCGGCGTACGACGCCAACCAGTTCAACTTCCAGACCGGCACCATCATCGGGCAGCCGGGCTTGCCTGAAGACACCTTCAAGCTGTTGGACAGGGAGAACCGGCTGGTGTGGTCCACTCCGATGGCCACGGACGGTTCGTGGCAGAATTTTGCCCTGACGCTGGACTTTGATCAAAAGTGAGCCCCGCGATGTTCCTGCGCTTTGGGCTGGGAAATGGAGACTGACGGGACATTAGCACGATCCAAGTCTGGTACTCCACCAAGGACGAGCCACTGCAGAAATCAGGGGACATCATCTCAGCTAACCTCGCCGGCGAGGGCCAGTACCAGATCGGCATGCTCAAGAAGCCCACGGGGACCGACGACGTGGTGAACTCGGGGTACCAGGAGAGCGGCCTGGACGAGGGTCAGATCTACGGCGGCATCTTCATCGAGGACAGTGCAGACGGCTGCGTGTCCGTGTGAGCCCCTGACACAATGACTGCGGCTCGATCTATTATCTACTCTGTTTAACCCACTGTCTATGTCTATATCTATGAATGGCATACCAAGTCATCTTGCGTGCAATCGTCACTTGCGCATATCAACAGCCGTGAAACTCGCCTTCAACGGCGCAATACTAATCACCCCATTCACAGACGCCCACAGGTCCTCTCCCTCGGGGCTCTCCTCGGCCTGCTTCTTGACATCAGCCAGCTGCGGCGCCCAACGGAACCGGTACTCCCTCCCCAGCGCCGCCTTCTCGGGATCCGCAGCAGCCGGACTGAACAGCCCGCCCGTGACCCACTGGCCCCGCGCCGTCGTCGTCATCCGCACCGGCGCGTCCGCGACGCCAGGCACCATCGGCACGTTGACGCTGTACACCTCCACGCCGGGGTGCCAGTCCGCCGCCAGCTCGCCCACCAGCGCCGCGGCGCGCACGCACGCCGCGCGGATGATGCCGTCGGGCTGCGGCTCCTTGCTCCCGAAGCTGAGCGCGACGGCGCGGCGCCCGCACTGCGCGGCCTCCATGGCGCCGCCGACGGTGCCGCTGCCGAGCGCCCACACGGTGCTCGCGTTGCGGCCGTGGTTCGGCCCCGAGACCACAAGGTCGAAGTCCGCGGGCGCGAAGCCCGCGTGGAAGAGGCCGAGCTGGGTGCAGCTTGCGGGCGGCCCGTCGACGACCAGCCAGCGGTGCAGGCGGTCGTCTTCGTCATCGGGCTTGTCCTCGCAGCCGACAGGGCAGGGGGCGGCGGGAGAGGAGAAGGAGGCAGGGCAGACGCTGGCGGCGGTGAGGGTCTTGCCCACGGCGTGCGCCTTGCCGATCCAAGAGAGCGGACGGTCTGGGATGACGACAACGGTCTGGTGGCCCGCCTCGTGCAGGGCGGCGAGGAAGGGCGCGAAGTAGGGCGAGACGGCGGACGGGGGCCCGTCGTCGTTGACGAGCTACGGGCAGTGCATCAGTCGGCGGTGGTCGAGGATGCCCGTTGCGGGTTTGGCTGTGTAAAGGGAATTACCAAGAGCCGCATGTTTACTGCTTGTCGCAGGTCGCCGATGTCCTAGCGGAAGGGGGAGATAGGTCCTTGCCGAAGGTCAGGCTGGGAGGAGGAAGAGACAGAGAATGCGTTTAGTAGTCTGGGGCTTCTTGGAGTGAAGCAGGCGGAGGCGGAGCAACAAAGAGTGCAAAAGAAGGCGACCGAGGCCAAGATCAGGCTGCCGAGGAGAGGTTCCGCGGTCGGAAGGTGGACGGGGTGGTGTTGTTGGTCAGACAAAACTGCGGTTCGATTGTCATCTCACGGATTGGGTAGGGTTTCAAAGCCGAACTCGGTTAGCGCTGTTGCCATTTTAAGTGAGGCATGTTAGTGAGCCGTTCAGGCAGAGCATCACTAAGAACCTAAGATATCATGTACAAGTCCATAGTAAACTGCTATATACTCTTTAATAACTTCAATTTCCAATAGAGAGTCCTGACATTGAAAATTGCTAGAAGCTATGTTGCTGCTGCGGCCTTGATAGCCCTCCTCTCCCGCCTGTTCTTCTTGCACTTGCGTACACAGCACCACACACACGAGCTGATCATGAGAGCCCCGATGATGGGCATCCCAACCATCAAGAACCACAGCACACCCTGGCTCATGTACTGGAAGCCGTTGTCCACCCGGTTCGCGTCGTCTCGGCCTTTGGGGATCTTCTCGCCGGGGGTCCACGTCATCACCGTCATGCCGCTGGTCAGCGTCGGCAGCTTGGGCGTCAACGTCGCCGTGTCAGATTTGGCCCAGGTCACGATCCAGGCATCGTGCACCAAGGTTCTTGGTCCCGATCTCGTGCCTGCGGTTGTCCACTCTGATTTTGCACATAGGGGTGCCAACGTTGAGAGGCTTCTCAAGGTATGGGTCTCCAAGCGATCGAAGCCGCTGGATCGATGATTTTGGTTAGCGGTTTGGCTCTCGTGACCTCAAGAAGAGGGACAATAACAAACCTCTGGCAGCAATGAGCCGTCGAGACCACTCGGGTTGGATTCTCGGCCATGTCGTTGTAAACCCATCCGTCGGGACACACGCCCGGTCTGAACCTGAGACGGTGCTCCGGGGGGAAGCTGTCCCACCCGGAAGGATATCATGTTGCCGCGGGTTTGGAAATGGTGAACTCTCGAGTGACGGTGGTGCCCCCGTACATCTCATAGGACACGGTGCTGGTCGTCCACTGGGATGAGCAGTCTGGCGGCTCTACCCATGGCGTGGTGATTGTGAGTAATGAGATAGATGTGGCTGTTGATGTCACGTTGCTGGGCGTTGTCGTCGTGGCGGTGAGAGACATCATTTGTGGTTGGAGAAATCAACAGAGGTCTGGCCCATGGTCACGAGGTGCTGTCTCTCTTATATTCACCAGTAATTGTGTGTCGGGGTTCATGCGCCAAGGCGGCAAAGCACGCGAAAGAGGGGTGCGAAAAGGGCAGGAGGACAAGGGCATGAGAGATATCAAGGAGCCAACTCTTGTGACGTACAATAATATTGACAGATTATCGCGGAGGAGTGGGCATCGTGCAAGATGCCTGGCCAACTATTCCATACAAGAGTTGTCGACGAAGTTGTTCCTATCTCGAGGGCTGCTTGACGGTTGGATCATGAAAGTGACAATACCATGGATATGGCCGCATCAACCGCAAGAAACAAGCCAAATCAACAATCTTTCTCCCGAAATATTGTTCGACTATCGCTACGTCAAGATGGGATACAATGAGGCTCATTACAAGACATGGCACATGTGGCACAAGGATTACCTGCAAAGGACGTCTCTAGAAGGTGGGTCCTTCTTCAGTCTTAGAGCGGCGACTGCTCGGGATGACAGCCGACAGGAATCACTGAGACATGTGCGGTTGGGCAACGAGGCATGACGCGCTGGGTGGCCCGAAGAGGAACGGGAGGCTTGTTTTAATAGGGCAAGGTTGAATTTCCCTCAAAGTATGTGCGAGCTTCCCCCACGAGAGACAGAGAACGGCCTTGACTTTGTCCGCTGAAAGTGTGAATCAATCATCCATGACCGATTACGGCGACGGGAAATCAGACGGGGCTACATTGGATGAACGGGACCCTCCATCATGATGGGAAACAAGATTCGGCCAGTAGTGAGAGCAAGATAAATAATGCCTCAGCTCAGATGACTACCGGACCGGACCCATGCTCGTTCTGCTGCATAGAAGGACGATGGAAGTCTCGTCGAAGGATGATGACAGGGACTCAGACGAGGCATCCCTGGCAGTGCGCCTCGTGGTTTGCCCAGCGCGCGCCCTGCCTTGGTGCGGCTTTAGCGCAGTGGAACGCTGAGCGAGAAAAGTACCGCACGTTTTCCCCGTTGTGTCGACCGCCCACTAAAACCCGTCGCCCTGTATCGGGTCCAGGAAGCCCTTCCCCGGGGGGCATCATCATAGGCCGCAGTAGTGCTCTTTCCATCGCTGGAACACACCGAGAGGTGCACGTCGATGCTGCCCAGCCGCTGGTTGGTCCCCGTCCTCGTCCCAGCAGCGCACTAAACCCGCTAGCGGAAAGGGACCGTACAGCGACAGGCGGACGGACCTGCTAACACTTACACACCTTCCATGACACCTGGGTACCCACCCACACCACCACTGACACCAATGCACCTCACCTCACCTTCCAAGGTGCCAATGGATGCCAGTCTTTCCTTCTGACCACTCACCTTGCACCGTCACCTCGAGACACATGTCACTGCGCATTTGCAACCCAATCAAGGCGATGGGCGTTGCCTTGCTGGGCTGGGCAAGACGAGGCTGCACAACGATAGAAGGCAGACACGGGACATAATAAGATGGGCGACGCTTCCTTTCCCCCCCGCGCGCGGCCGTCCAGGTTCCCCCTCTTGCCACCACACACCTCAAAAAGAAGGAAAAATTCTACAAACACAGCCCACCTTGTCGAGAAGTGGCTTCATCATCATCCGTACATCGTCAGACACGAAGATACTGGAAAAGAAGAGGAAGCCAGCGCGTGGGCATGGCACACAGTACTAACCAGCGCGACGACGCCTCGGCATGGGCCGAGCAGCCTGGTGCCCGCGACGGCACCCAGCCGTTCAACCTCTACTACCACCCTGCGGTCGTGGATGACTTCTATCTCCCCGACACCGATGTGCCACGGAACCCTCAGCTGTTGATCCAGTACGTTCCTGACACAGACCCGGACACACCAAGGTAGAGCAGATGCTGACTACCTCTAGGGCTTTCAACGCCGACCTTCCCTCCCTCCCCGACCCGAAGAACCAAGGTCCAGATCTCGGTCAGTCTTCCACGTCGTCCTCTGACAGAACACCTGCTGACTTTCTCCTCACAGACGCACAGCTCTCAATTGAACTCCTCATCGGTGGCGGCTCGTCCTTTGAAAACAAGGACCTCGGCCATGGCGCCGCCGGCCCGTCATCACACGGTCTCGCCCGCAGCATCAGCCAAGCCAGCTCACACGGGAAGGACGACATCGAGTCGGTGACATTCAGCCAGAGCGACTTCGCCGAGAGCTTCGGTAACTTCAACCCCCTCAACAGCACCACCACAAGCGTCTCCGAGTACATCGTGCCGTCCATAGAGAGCAGCCCCGGCGTTGTCCAGAGACCCTTCCTCAACGTCCGCACAAATAACGCCAGTCCGTCGCTGAACACGCTGGGATTCTCGGCCAGCTCTTCGCCTGCCTCCGCTCATGCGTTTCCCACGAACACTTTCAACTTCCAGACCACGCCGACGAGCGCTCCCCGACAGAGTGTCAGCGCCCTCTCCGCCGGCCTGTCGAGCCACTCCCACCTTCCTAGTCCCGCCTCGCCATTCTACGAGGACTGGGGCGCTCAATTCTCAGAAGATGGAAACGCGGGTCTCAGCCAGTCGTGGAGTGCTACCCTTCCGTCCGGAGACTTTCCATTGTTCACCGACGGACAGTCTCAGCCTTCGCTGGTCATCCACCCGCCGGAAGCTACAAACATGTTTGAATTCGAGGACTTCAACATTCCCGGGCCGTCCCCAACCTCCCGAATGCATCCCATCGACCACACTTCCACCAACAGCTTTACGTTCCAGAACACTAGAACGCAGAACTTTCGAGATATGAGGCCGTCGGTACCGTTCAACACGACCGAGGACCGCCTGGAGGTCCCGAGACAGAGACCTCGCCGTTCATCAGAATACACCCGGCCGGGCAATCCTCTGTCGTCACAAGGACGGCGAGTACATAGACCAGTAGACCCTAGAACAAACCGTCCCCGCAGCCACACTGCACTGCCGCCGCCGAACCGATCATCCATAATACAGTTGCAGCGCGCAAGCCAGGAGCATATTACAGCCTCCTCGACAACAACAGCACCTGTACAAATTCGCTCCCGCTCCAAAAAACCGGAAGCCGTAGCTGCCCCATTCCCAAGCACAAGCCCAAAGGGCCCCTCGCGCGGACGCCGCAACGGTCCCATGGAAGCAAAGTCCCGCGAGCAGGCCAAAGATACCCGCAATAAGAAGACGGTCTGCATTCGCTGCAAGTACTCAAAGCAGGGTTGCAGACGGGTCGACAACGCCCCAAACAGCCCCTGCGTCCAGTGTGAAAAGCATGGCTGCTCTAGCAAGTGGCCGGGCCCCTGCGAGTTGGCCCATTTCGAGGACTTAGTCCTCTCGAGGTCCTGCAACTACGTCTCTCAGCGCGCCATCAACCACCTCTCGCTTGACGGGACGCGACGCATCCGCATTCCCCTGCAGTGCGTCTTTCCCCTCGACGACGTCATCGCTGCGCTGAACACCCCCTGCGACTTTGACATCCGCGTTCACCAGGACAACCGGCCCGTCTACATCCTCAACCTCCAAAAGTGCCACGAGTATCTCCTCACCCTGAAGGCTCAGATCGGCGGCGGCAGGACAGACCGGAGCCCGAGCTCCTTTATCGACAGGGACCTCGTCCACCTCGACGCGGACTGGGAGGCCTGCATGGACAATGTCGTGACCGACGACCCCCTCGCCCTCCTCTGCGCCATCCACAACATGCCCTCCCACGCGCGCTACTCTTACGTCTACAAAACCCACGTCCACCTTCCCGAACGCTTCCTGGACCCGGAATCCCCTTCCGACACCGGCGCTCTCCAGCTCGCTGCCCAGCTCGCCCGCGTCATCTGTCGCAAGGTCGAGGTCAAGGCCTATACTTACCTGCAGCGCGCGCTGTACAAGTCCACCGAACCCAAGGTCAAGGAGGAGGAGCTTCTCCCGCTGCTACGTCGGGTGGGTTGCATTCTTGCCAGCCTGCGATGGCGTCTCGCGTGGTGGACCGTGATGCCCGGGAACCCGCCCGAGGCGCGCGACGAGGATGGGGCGCGGGCCGAGTGTCAGAAACAGGTGTACAAACTCTGCCGCAGGCTTTACTTTCACTATTGTAGCGCAAGACGGAGGCTGGCCACGTGGTCGACGGTAGACTCGCTCAGGGGCATGTGGTCGCTGTACCCAGATACGGACCGCAAGGTGTGGGATGCTTTCCCTGGGGATGAGACTGTCGAGGCGTTTAACGAATGGTTGGCTAAGGGCCAGGGGTTGATTTACGAGGCCGGGGCGTCGCGGGTGCTTGAGTCCATGATGTTGCCCACGTCAGTCTGTTTTTGAATTGTGGTTTTTTGTCTACTTGTTTTGTATAGGAATACCCCTTTTTTCATGGGACGGGCCTGAAGCTCAAGGACAAGAGAAGGACAGTGGAAAACAGCACACTCGTTGCCAAAGGCGAGCAGTTGTACGAGATACCATAGACGGCGTTTGGGTATACACATACCAGGGTCGGGCTATATATAGACTTTTCCTGATTTCGCAATCAACATCAAGTCTTAATCAAACTCAGCTCTAGAAGTAATGGCGTTGCCAAAGGAAGCGGACGACCAATAAAAGTGAAGGAGGACCTCCTTCTGTAATGCTATTTACTCCACGCGGTGTATGCTTTTCAGCTGATGTACTATGCCGCCCGCAAACCTTTGGAATATCCGGAGATAAGCACTTGGTGACGTCCATGGTTATCGATGAGATGTCACACTGAAGAGGTGTTGCCAGGGCTTTGCTCAGCATCACGGCCTCAATCTCAGATACTCGAAAATTCACGCAGACACGAACCCCAACTACAATCTCTGGCTTGATTAATGACAAATGAAGCTCTGAAGGCTTTTTAACCTCGCCAGATCGCCATTTGCTCTAGCATTTCATATTACATGGATAGCAACAGGCGACGGGGCATTTCCATTAGAGGAATCTTCGGGCAGCCAGGTTGAGGAATCTATAAAACAAAGCCCAGACGATTGATTCTCAGAATCAGGCCAATGAACTTTGAGTCCGGGAAGCTGTTCCACGCGATATGAAGAAAGTCGAAAGCTATCTCTTTCACGAGGTTCTGGGCTCAGGGTCCCAGGGACGCGATTGAACCTCGCGCGTCACAAGATCCAGTCCAAGTCGTCGGGTATGACGGTGTTTTTCTCGCGAATACGTGACAAGCAGTCGAGATGGCGGGCGTTTATGCGATGGGGTGTGTGCCCCTGAAACTGCCCGGGGTTCTACTCGGGATCACAACCGGCTGCCTTGAGAGCCAAAGCTTTTAATTGCGCTCGAATGCAACTTCAGGGACACCCTACACTATTGCTTGAAGTAGAATAGATGATTGAGAAACACACTGTTTTATGTTATAATAACTGTCTCATATGGTGGTCCAGCTGAGCGAGTTCTGGCCGTATATAAGATCGATCAGTTATTACTGGTCAGTGGTAACTCCCAAGCCGCAGATATCATTGTTGCCACAACGTCTGTTCATGCGTCAAGTCTACGCTGACGAGCCAAAGTGTCGGGAGAAGTCCAGTTTGCCAGTCAGTTGTGTTCAGACGACAGGTGGGGACATGTGTTCCCGAATACCTCCATGATAGATCATGGATCACGCCAGCGATGGCTGACGACACCGAGACGTAATGTGCATTTACATCCCGCGCACACTCTTTCCGCTGTGATTTCATGTGTGCGAGGGCATGTTGGCTAAAGGCTTCACGACGTTCCATGGCATTCCATTGGTCTGGTTCCGTCTGTGTTAACGTCTCGAGCGAATCTCATTTTATACAACGCCCAGCCGCTCGTTCCTGGTTATTGGGCATAAATAAGACTCAGCGCTGCTTTCGAAGAACTGCAAGCACAATTCATACGGTCAGCATAGTTTTCATTGACTTTAGCACAGGCAACGGTGTGAATTTTAGGCCATCGGCAGTTGGCCTCTGACGTCGTTTTGCAGGACATGTGTTCGATGGCCAGGGACGATGGAGTCTTGTGTCTATTTTGTAAGAATAGTTAACATCCATCAGAAATGAAAGAAAGCATCAGCCTGGAATTGAGTTTGATGATAATTGAAGTGGTAGTGATTTACCTGCTATATTGTTGAAAGAGGAGGTCGCCTTCATTTAATCCTAGGAATTGAAGGCGTTAAATTTGTGCTTTGGGTGCTGCTCCAGATTCTGAGCATTCTTCAAGTCTTTCATAAGTCAACGCAATGCGGCCTTTGACGTTCAATTCATATCGAGAAGTGTATAAATCTCACGTATGGAGGCCAAATAGTTCTTACCTCACAGGCAAGATACGAGCGAAAGAACACCGAGGAGTGTGAGTTTCTAGGGTAAATCATGGGAAAATTGGAATCGTGCAGAGCCTATGAACTTGTTTCAAGTCACTGGATTCATAGAAGCCTTGCTGGGGACGAATACCAGAGAGACGAAACCAAGTCCTGATGAACCGTGGCGACAACAGCATCCTTCATAGCCGCTTTAGAATGTTTTTTTTGCGAGCCATGTCCCGAGACAATAAAGCGGATTGCTCTCGAATTAACGTCTAGCTGGTGCGGAACGATAAAGTATATAACTGATCAGAGGGCTTCTAAATCTAGACGGGAGGCAATGGAGGCTTCTGATAGATGAGGATTCAAGCAGCTTCTCTAAGGTTTAAGAATCTGTATCATCTCTGGCCAACATGAGTGATGTTTCTCAAGTGATACCACATAATCCAGAACTGTGTATGCCCGTCGACGCAGCGAATACGTCCTCAAAACCAGGGACATGGTACACTGAAATATTCCTGCGGGCCTCGGGCTGCCAAATCTCTGAGACGCTCGTAACAAACTCCATCCCTTCCCGAAACATTATTTTCTTTTCTCGATTCTGAACACCAGGGATAGGACTATTCGCTATAATTCTGGTGGATTTTCCGGTCAGTAACATTGATGAATTCAAAATTTATAGCAAAATAGGAGTTGTGGCTGTCGTGCCTCGTCCGAGTCGCAATCATGGATTGTTCACAAGGCATTTGTAGCTGAACTAGCCGCAAATGATGTACCTCATCGAATGTATCTATGGTTATTTGGCATGGCATAGCTTATGTTAGAACCTCGTGTTTGCCTTTTCTTCCTGTCCTGACCATCACGCAGGAGCTGCTAACATCTGTGTTACTTTCACCATCGTCGAAAAAGCAATTGAGAGTAACTATAAAACACGCCCCCAGGGCTCGAAGAGAGTTCGACAGAGCCAATATACGTCACCGCTGTTCTCTAGTGGTTTGAGATAGAGCCTCGCAAACAATCGATTCGGTGAGCTGAAGCATTGCGCAGTTTTGCACAACAGACAGCTTCATCAGTCGAGGACGGGGTTCTCATGTCTGATCTCATGTCTGAAGTATTCTGTCTCAATATCACCGTCAATACTCCCACGATACTATGGAGGATGAGAAACGACGCAACCGCCTATGTCTTCATGAATAATTGTCCTTATCGTCATCTACGAGTTTATTAACAACAGAGCGTTTGCTATGAACACAGAGTCTATTCAAGGCAAAAGCCATTTGAGAAAAGCCTTAGACATTTGCCAGATTAACAATGTAGAGACCACATCGGATTTAAATGTCTTTACGTCCCACTTTCAGTACCCATGACTGCACAAGATACATCATCTGCCGTCAACTCCCAGTGGCGGTGCCGTCGCGGCCGGCCAAGATGGTGAAGGCTCACAAAACATTCCATTGCTGGTTCCCTAAAATATCGATCAAGCGGCAAACAATCCGCATTTCTCACAGCGACACATTCAGACGACTCGACAGTCTTTGAAATTCCACCGCTACAATCAGTTCTACAACGAAGTATGGCTTCGACGATGACCTAATGCTTGTGGTCGAAAATACAGATTGTGAGAATGTAGCCAGGCGAGCTTGATGTCGCCTATGAAACCGAATAACACGGATTTCTCAGAAGACAGAGGTGAAAGAGAATACCTAGTTAGATCTCAGGAAGATGTTCGTCGTTCCATGGCTCCTTATTAAGTAATGTCAGGGGATCGTCGACGCCCGAAGTAGAATTGCTTGAAGGCTTCCCCATCGGTTCGAACATTGTGTTGCGCCGAGCCAAATGGATTGTAACGCTCGATTTCCTTTTATAAAGCGCTGTAACATGTCATGCTACTTCCGGGGATTGGGGAAGCAAGCTCTTATTTATAGAACCGTGGGAACTTCAACCCCTTTAGGCTTTAAGAATCCGAAGGTGTTAACTAGTTATTGTTTTACTCCTACTTGTCATCAATATATCCTCAACGACAGATACAAAGAAGCTTTCAAGCCGAGTCCTTCTAGAATAGACGAGACCTGTTAACTATAGCTCGCATCCTTACGCACTTTCAAAGTTTAAGAGTTCTTTCTGAGAGGTACTGCTTTCTATTCTGATTTGTTTACGTTCTCAAGTCTGCCTTCAGATAGTTTCTCGAACTACCTGATGTAATTCTCTGGACCAGGAATAGCGGTGCAACATCACACATTAGGTCAGTGCTGGACTATTCTTGGTCCAGATTGACTGATGTAGTCGAATATACTACCCGCAGGTATACCTCGGAAACGACCAAAGTAATGATCCATAGAAAGAACGTTATTCGAAAGATGGAGTGAGTTCCCAGCGCGTCTTGTGCGACGAAGAGCCCAGGAAACCACTGAGAACGACGCTATCAACCGACTCGAAAGGCAAGAGATTTACATTGGCCTGGAAGGTGTTCTAAAGAAGAAGTAACATTAATATACTTGAATCTTTCGTCCTTGCTCGGCTCTTGATGATGGCTGGCAGATATTCAAATACGTCCCATACTTGATGGATTTGAGTAGACTGCGCGTGGGAAGTCTCGACGCAAATGAAAACCTCAAGGGAATGTGGTAAATATTAAAGTGACACTCAAGTAGACATAAGATCCAATCAGATCTCTAGTTCCTCCGCCTCAACATCTCTCTGCCATTTACATCTAGCCACACCCAACTCCTCTCCCGTATCAATTGCCACTCCATTCGCCATCAATTACAAAGCCAACCACATCACCATAGAAAAGGCTGCCCAGGCCGCACCGCATCACTCGGAGGGTAGATGAGCGCACCTCTCACAGCATCCTCCCCGTCCTCCGCAGTAGGCGGAGGCAGCTTGCCGAGATCTTTATATTTAATCCTAAAGAACTCGCCGTGGAATTTCTTTCTGCACAACATACACCTCGGTCTGTCGTCTGTTGATGTGTTGACCGCGGCAAACTTTAGCACGTGTGTCATGGCGCATCTGAAGCACACCAGATGCAGCTTCGACCGGGGACAGACCGCGACCGCCCGTCGCAGCTCGTTGTTGTCGTCGTACTGCTCCTCACAAAGCCCGCAGGTGGGCGGGTCCTCCTTCTTCTCTTTGGCCGCGCCGTCCTCAAAATCTATCAAGTTCATGGATTCCCCGCTCGTGGACGGGTCTGTCTGCGGCTGTTGTGGCGCGGGGTGGTGGTTCCCCGTCAGCCGTTCCGCCGCCGTGGCCACCGAAATGACTCTCCTCCGAGCCGCGGCCAGTGCATCCGGCACCTTGCGTATCGCGTTCGCGTAAAACGTGTCCCTGACATGGAAAATGGCCCGAAACTCGGCAGTCGAGATGCGGCCCTCCTGGAATTCGTTCGCGTACAGCTCCCACCTCTCCTTATCGTTCGCCGGGAACATCTGCGTCATCACGCTAAACATCCTCTTGATGTCGTTGTACACCGCAACCTCCGCTGCCTTCTGCTGGTCTGTCTTGTCGGGGCGCAAGCCATGGACGTACGGGTTGATGGGGTCAAATGTTGTCCCGGCGTAGAGAAGCCACGTCTTCGCAATGCCGACCAGCTCCTCGACGACCTCATCCTTCAGCCCGTTGTCGAGCGCGATCCACGTGACGGCCTGCTTGGCTTGTTGCCCGCGCAGGCGCAGCTGGCGCTCGAACTCGCTCCATTCAGCGTCCGTCTCGATCCACAGCTGCTCCTGACGCACTTGTTCGATCTTGTCCTCCACCTCGACGTCTAGCGTCATCAAGGCGTTGTGGTAGCGCGCCTGTTCCGACGGGTACATGTCGTAGACGGCCATCTCGTCGACATTGGCCCGGGCGCCTCGGCGATCGAGGAAGAACCTCCGGGCGGCGGCTCTCTCTTCCTGGAGATACCGGCTATCCTTGTCCGTGTAGTTAGCTTCTAGGACGTCAATCATGCGGGAATGGCGTTTGAGGATGCGCTCAGCCTCGTACATCCGCATCCTGCGGCCGATGTTGGCGGACGCGGGAAGCACTTGGGTCTGACACCTGCAGTCATGCATGCGAGACGCCGTCCCCTGATCAGCGTTATCCATCCAGTGATCGTCGTCGCAACGGCAGAACATCTCGGCACGGATCTCCATCCTGACCTGCCTGAGATCATCGTCGCGCATGTTCGCTTCTGGGATCTTGCGCGCGATGGAGTGTTTGAGCAGGATGACGACTTGCTGAAAGTATTCAAATAGATCTGGGTGTACGTCGGTGTAAGGAGGTCCCCTAAGCACGGGTCCGCCGGATCTGTCCTCGTCTCCGTCATTGTGTTTGTCCTCATTTTTGGCTATCTTTAAACCAAAGGCGGAGGCCTTCTTTTCCATCATTTTTCTCTCCTGCTCTGGGTTTCTCTCGGTCAAGTCTCTGCTGAGCTGCTGCTCCTGGCGGAGCCAGGCCTGGCGAGGCAGAGCACTGGAAACGTTCAGACAGTCCGCACACATGCCCTGTACAATTTCGACGACCTTGCCTGTGGGTTGTCTGCAGTTGCCGATGAACGGGTGGGCACAGTAGACCCGAACCTGCTGCATATGGTGTTCCTCTCCAGCCCTCAACCTAACACATGCGTCAAGATCGCCAATCCTGCGGTAGAGCTTCACCTTCTTGTTGGGGAGATCGAGGATGTTGTTGTCCGGGTGCTTTTGTCTGGCCTCTCTTGACTCTTCAGTCTCGGGGCATTGGTAGAAGATATGTTTCAGGATACACATGTTTGCGGTAACCGTCGAGGGGCAAGCCTCAGAGTGGTGATAAACGGGTCAAGGGAACAAGTATTCGATGAGACTATGTCGAGGAAGTTTCGAGCCCACCTAGGAGGGGTTTTCACAGTAGGGGGAAAAAAGCAGTAAAAGCACCTCGGTCAGTGCCCAGTCCAGTAGCTTCGCAGTATACGTACCCAATTCGATGATACTATAGAGAAGAGAAGGGTGAAGAGATTGGAAAGACGACGTCAAGTGTTTGGGATGAAAGATTCCTTCGTAAAAGAAGAGCGATGAAGGCACTATTTTGAATCATCGAAAACCCACATCATGATCAACTTGATCCGTGGTAGAAGAAGACAATGTGCTTGACCCCGTTGGTGATGATGCTATTGTCCAAGTCCAGGGAGGGAACAATCGGAGAATACTGAGATTCGTTGCGTCAAAGAGCAATCGACCATTCCGAGTCCGCCTCCGGGGAATGCGATGAGAAATGAAAGAAATGCCCATTGACGGTTGATAAAGATGTACCGAAAAAGACACGGCCTTCCGTTGAGGGAGCGAGAGAGAAAGAGAGCGACTACGACATCGACTGTCGAGGCCCAACTCCTCACTTCTAAGCCAAATTACGACCCAAGAAGTGAGACCTTAGAAACCTTGAACGAGGTTGGAAGATTTCGCGACTGTCTCCTTGCAACACTGGGTCAAACCGAAAATATCCTCCTTCGATCGAACGTGATGTCAAGCTCTAAGACCCAGAGACTCGTAAGACTTTAATCAACCACTGACAACTGCTAATGAAGACAGCGCCCAGAAGAAACGCTTCGCCTACGAACCACTAGAATAGTCGGTCGTCTGGGATCTTGAGTTGCCCTCCAGCAGAACTCTCTCCCGTCGCGTCGTCATCGGAGGTCCTGAGCTCCGCGGCTCAATGAATTGCGAGCTCGATCAATCAATCGCCCGAGGCGATTGACCAGAAACGTCCCTTGACCAGCCGGCCAACCGACTCACTCATCCTTCGCAAAGGACCTCGTCCCCTGAGCTCACATTGTGCTCAAGGTTTCTTTGAAGGGCCGGATAGGCCTGCGAGGCCTTTCCACCTCTAGAAGATGGTCTTGAGCCCAAAGAACACAATGATCGACTGCTCATGGAGACATACTTGGCCTGCGAACCGCCCGAAATACTCCATGGTCTGGGCTTTAGCTTGAGTGCCCCCGGCAGAACCTCCTCCCGGATCTCTCTGTGGCCTCAACTGGCTGAATGGACGTCGTTCGGTTCGTCTGAAGAGGCAGATGGAGATGGTCTCTGAGCTCAGTAGCTCAACGAACCGCCGACTGGAACCGCCAGGATCTCGATCCATCAACTTGGACACCATTGTCCAAAGACGATCATCAACCAGCGGGCCAACCAACGAATTCATCCCTTGAGTAATTCATAATCGAACTCGTCCTCTGGTTTCTTTGAAAGACTGGATAAGTCCGCCAGGTTCCCTCTCAGCTCCTACAAGGGCTGGAGCAAAAGACGGCCTCGAGGCCAAAGAATCGAATGCGCACGCGACACCGTGACAAAAAGCCTTATATCCCTTGAGTATCTCAATATAGCTCTCGTCTTAAGTCATTGTGCTCAATGTTAGTTCAGAAACTACAACTCGTCAGCAAAGCCCATTGATAACCAAGCATCATGAAACCAAACCCCAACCCCTGAGTCCTCGTCAAAGGAAACCCCTCCTCCCTTTCTACCTTGTCCATTCATCACCAACTCATTCATCAACCCCCATCAATCAACAAAACAAATCCCCATCATCAATAGCCCGCCGTAGAAACCATCCTACCTCACCTCCCCTTCCCAGTCCCTCCAACGCCCCCGCTTGCGTGAGGCACATCGCACCGCGAGAGGGAGGTGTGGATTCCCCATCCAATCCCCCACCACCCCTGCCGCCCAATCACGAACCTACATGGAACCCGCTCCCAAGACCTGCACGAAGATGGAGCCCACGCGCAGATTTTAGGAGGCTGAGCTGAAAAAAGGCCACCACCACACTCACACGCCCGCGTCGCCCGGGAAAGAGACAGAGAAAGATCAGACCACCCTGTTCTCTTTGCTCAAAATGACGAACTCTAACCAATTCCCTCCCCACCGGAGATGAAATCGAGGGAATTAATCGCGTGCGAAGGAATCGGTTCAGATAGATACCCCCATGAGAAGCCGATGGAAATTATTATCGGTTTTGGTTTTCGTAGGCTCGCAGGGATGAACTCGCGGTTTCTCTCGGCCCCTTCGGCCCTCGGGCCGAATGCGAGGAATGGCAGGAAAAAGGCACGGCAATGGCCAATGGGTAAGACAAAAAAAAAAAAAAAAAAAAAAAGNGGGAAAGGCCAAAGGGGAAAAAAAAAAAAAAAAAAAAAAAAAAAGTCTAAAAGTGGTGAAGTTCGATAGGGGTGTTCGCGGAGTCCTCGGTCGGGCTCGGTGGAATCCCGGTGAAGCCCCCCTCCAAAGTCTACCACGTCGCCCCCCCTTCTCACGGTTATCAGGTGGCAGAAGTATCGCACGCAAGAACCCCTCGAGTTCGCAGCCATAAAACGAAAACCTACACCAAAGAAGCAAAACCATCACAACAAGAAAAAGGCGAATCGTGTCATCATTCCTAGTGTAAGTTTGGGACCTAGGCCGTCGCAGGAGAAGAAAGAAGAACAGCTCCCGACAGAGGGGGAGGCAGATAATAAATACCATAATAAAAAACAAGAGGACGCAGACGCTACGGTATCACGATGCCAATTCGTCAAACAACGAGCGTCCATGTGTGATGAAGAAGAAGAGACAGAACGTTTCCTCCACCCTCTCGTCGGACTCGTTCCGCCAAAATGCCATTTCCCATGATTCCCGTTGCATATAAAATTCCCGGCCTGCCCATCGCGAAAGGGTTAAGGAACAAAAGCAGACCGTTGACCTAATAATGGGGGGGCGAAAACAAAAGAATTCCACGACGCCCTCTCCGTCATTCCCGCAGGAGATAACTTTTATGCGATAAAACTCCATTTTTGATATCCCACGCTCCCCACCCTGACCGACCGATGCGACCTCGGCACGCTAGGTCGCATACCCGCGTTCTTCATGGTCGACAGCCTTCACGTGCCCGATGCCATCATCTTCTCCCGCAGCTCGCGACGCTTGTCTTCCAGCTTGAAGCCGTCCTGGGGGCACTCCCATCCGTTGGGGTCGACCTTTATCCTGGCGAGGCATTTCGTGCACCGCCACCAGGCCGCATTCACCTTGCGCACTTGCAGCCAGTCGTCCGTGATCTCGCCGTTCTTCTTGTTCACGTCCTCCTTGTGAACATCCGTGAGGTGGATTCGTAATCGGTCCTTACGACTGAATGGCTCGTCTTTGCGGTTGCATGCATTGTAGTCGCAGTAGTAGGCCTCGTCTGACTTCTTCCCTGATGCGCCGGCGACGCTGTTATTGCGGTTCCCTCCGCCTTTTCCGCCGGCTGCGGCCTTGGTGATAACCTTGGGGCTCGGTTTGGGCGTGCTCAGAGCAGGCGTGATTTCCTTGACGGATAAGGCGGGTGAAGGCTGAGTTTGGCTGTCGGAATGGGCCTGTTTGTAGTGCTTGTCGAGATCGAGATTCCGCTTGAAAGGCTTTGCGGTGCATTTTTCGTATAGGCAAGTGAAGGCGAAGTCCTGTGGCTTCTGAATGGGCGACATGCCCGTGTGCACTCGAGGTATTACTTGAACGAGGCCTTCCGCAACGAAGTCTGGCTGCAGCTTCCAAAAGCCACCGTTTTCGTCGGGCATATAATCATATTTGGAGCAGTCAAAATTATCGATGGATGGTTGAGAAGCTTCGGCCCTAAGGGTATGTGTGTTAGTAGAGATTGGCGCAATCGGGGTCGCAAATGGTGGCGTTTCGACAAAAACTGTCTTCATTTGTTCAAACAGGTAGGTGATGAGCTGGCTCGATAAACTCACCATTGTTGCGGCGGGTCGATAGTGGGTGGGTTGCTTTTGCTGATGGCAGCGTGCGTTCGTTTCGCGGCGGTTGGAGGGGCCATGATCGGTGTACTTGCTTCTTTGGTGTTCTAATCAGCGGTTTGTCTCTCTTCCCCAGAGCGCGAATCTGTCCTTTCCCATCCGTCCCGTATCGCCCATCTCCGTATCGCAAAGAAACCCCCCAAGGGCATATCCGCCTGGCATTCGGGGAGGAAGAAAATTGCAGAGAATGGGGAATCCAAAGTATCAATCGCATCATCAGCCAGAACGAGGAAGACGTGTACCGACCTTGAGCTTTGTTTGCGGGCATGGCGATGCGGGCGCAGTGACAGACGGACGAGTCTGAATACCGAAGTCGAATTGAGCTGGATGATATCGATTCTCTCCTGTCAAGCCAGACCAGGGTCGACTACCTGCAGGTCATGAGAACGGCGTTGAAATCAAGGGCGCAGATGAACGTTTGCGATGTGCAGGAAGGAGGAAAGAAGTGGGAGAAAGGGTCATTTCACAGCAGCCGCCGACGGAAAGCAAAGGAAAGAAATGGGATAGGACAAAAAGGTGAGTTTGCGAGAAAAACGGAAGGCCCTTTTGGCTCTCGGTTGTTTGTCGTTTCTCTGGAACCAGGAGAGATAATTATTGCTTTTCTGCCACCCAGGGCAGCAGCAAACCAACTGAGCCGACCGGCCAGTCAGCGTGAGCAAGCTTGACGGGAAAAGTAGTATGTAGCAACCGCAACGGCGGCAGCGGCAACGGGAGCAACACCAACGGACAGAGCAGAGCAGAGCAGAGCAATCGGGTCAGGCCCAGCCAGGTTCACCGTTCAGTTCAGGCTCAGGTCCGGCGGTGCCCGTACGAACGGCACATGCAGTGCTGTACTGTACTCTCGCTTGTTGGTGACTTGCGACCGATTCAATGCCTGCTGGTGCTTGATGCTGGGCTTGGTGCTTGGGACGATGGAGTGAGGCATGCAGTGAAAAGGGTACCTTTTGCATGGAGGAGAGCAGGAGGGCGAGGTATCTCAGT